AAGGGTCCCCACACACCTTACGATTATCGTCCGATAATCGCGGGAAATCCCGCGATCGTACAATGATCGTAAGGTGTGTGGAAGCCGTGCGACCTCTACTACTGTAAGGTCGCACGACTTTAAACTTACGGACATGTTTGAAAACCCGCCGAGCATCGTACGATGTTCGGCGGGTTTGTGGCATGTCCGTACGATAACAGCCGCACAGGCCGGTGTGTGCAAGCGCACACTGCCCGTTCGGCATTGCGGTCATCGGAAGCCCGCCCCTCAGGGGCGTGGCTTGCGATCATCGCAAGTACGATCTGCCTATGCAACATAGGCAGATCATACGTTTTTTTAAATACCTTGCAACCATCGCAAGACAAAAGTCTTGCGATGGTTGTAAGGTGTGTGCCCAGCCTAACACAGTACACTAAGGCGTGGAATATGCCACAGGCAGAGCCCCATGCTCAAAGGTCAGGTTTAAAGTAGGCCCTGCAATCTTTGGTCTAGAGGGATCCGGTCACAAAATCTACAGCCAAAGAAATGCTAATTCGGATAGCTGCTCAGAAGCATGTAAATGAAAAAATAAAATAATATTAATAGTAAAATTGGCAAACTTTTCTCAGTAGAGAAAAGGTCTCCATCCTCCTAGGACACTAGAAAAAAACCTGAAGCATGGTGGAAGGGGATATACCTGTCAAGCCAATGCTTTTTTGTTTGCCAGTGTCAAAATCCTTCTCTAGACGACAGTATGGGGCTGATTTACGAAGCTGCGAGATGAGAATATATGCGCGCATATACGAACACTTGTGCGCAGGATTTTCGCAGGTGAATATGTACCATTTGGAACCCATTCACAACAGCATATAAATAATGTACACATTTCGATTTGTGTGATTGGCATATATGTACTGTTGTTGTTATATTTTTGTGTCTGTAGATTTATCAGTTTTCTGATTTTGGCCAGGATATTTGCATTGCTGTATGTGGATTAATTCTACTCACTTGATGCAGGATTTGAACCAGGGACATAGGTGTTGTGCGGCAGGTCCTCTAACCGCTCAGCCACTGGGCTTCCCTTTGCTGTTGATTGTTGCACATCCCTATTGAATCCTCAGCATTTTAACACGCCATGCGCGCGCGTTGGTAGTATTCATCAAGCATCTGTATAACCTGCATACGCTTCCGCGCCAAGCGTATACGCGCGTGCGCGCGCGCAGTCGGCGTGTTTTTGCATGGCGTGTTTGTGAGGTTAGTAAATCAACCCCTATGACTCAATCATCTCAGTATAACTGAACCCTGTGTCAATTAATGAATGATAAATAAAAAAATACTTTTAATAATTTAATCATTTTAAGTACCGTAGTTTTTTTGCCATTTCACATGTGCTTATGGGCACTAAAATTAATTTGAATGTAATTTTTTCTAAAAATATAGATTTGATAATCAGTTGCACAAAAATTGCAACTACTATCTTTTTATTCTACAGGTCATGAAATATATAATGTTTTGGGGGTGTTAAGTGTTATAGCATATGTGAAAAAGGCTCTGGCAGCAAAAGAGTTAAACCTAAAGACAGAAATTATGGCACCTTATGTTAACTAAAGCTGGCTGTACACTGGTAGGTAAAACTAGTCAGAGCATTCGATATTGCAATCAGAGACTGGACAAATCTTGCTGGAAATTTATTTTTGTTTGAACTTTTCAATTTTGGAAAGTAATAGAGTTTCTCAAACAAAATTCACCTTCACTGTTAGAACGTAATTAGTCTAAAAAACCTTTTCTATTATGCCCCCTCAAATTTTTTTTTTTCATCACTACATTCAAAATCAATCGCCAATTTTACCTCATTACCTATTAGAAAATCGAACAAAGGTTCTGAAAACAAATTTTTGGGGAATTAAATTCTACTGGTGTATGGACAGCTTAATCACACCAGCTGCGCTAAAGGCACAACGGTTGGTGTGCATCACCCGACACAGTGGTGATGCGCCACTCCCGGCACATTGCAATGTGTACTTTTTTTTAGTAGAAATTGATTTAAATGTCACAAGTGACATTTCATTCAGTTCTACAGGCACAGCAGGGTGCAAGGTCACATCACGCTGCACTGAAAAAAGGCACTTTTTTTTTCAGTGCACACCACTTAGTTCCCATTGCATCGTTAAATGCTCATTTTGTTATGGGTTGAAGAATAAGGTTACCGTAGAACTAAAGCCCAACATTTTTTTTAAGGGAGGGTTATAAGCTTTTTTTGTCATCTGTGTGCCACAACAGGAAGTGAGAGGAAATTACTCCCAAGTGAGGGAACTCACTGGTGGTCAGCCGGGTCAACAGAACTAGTATCCTCATTGGAAGATTTTTCCCCCCATTCCTGATCTGGTGAAAACCCAAAATTTGGGGTTTTCTTTCTTTAACACTTTTGGTGTTAACAGCCACCATGACAAATAGAGATGGTGAATCTCCCTAACGGGGACACAGACAGCAATAAATACCTGACAAGTTTTCCATATAACGTTGAAGATGTCTGCTGCACAGTGCACACCTTACAGTGTTACAATATAAATAGGATAGATGCTCGAAGAGACCGGCACGGATAGCAAAACCTTAGAGATCTGATGAAGACCACCAGCACTCCAAATGCAAAGAAAGTCTTGTCTATTGCAAAAACATCACATACGTCAAAATTGTCAATGTTTCAGGGCCATGCAGGGTCCCTTCCTCAAGGGGACACAGTGACAAATCCCTAATCCCGATCCACTCTTTCCAAAGCAAAAAAAAAAAAAAAGCTTTAGCTTGAGTTGCACTTTAATTATTTACCTACTTCAACTTTTCCAGGCAGCAGGTGTTCTATTACACTCCCATGATGTGGAAGGGCCATAGCCGTCCTCACGTACAATGCAGGACTACTGGTTTTGCGCTGTACGTGATAACGTCATGGAGCTGCGACTGGTAAAGAGGATCAGCTTAGGGGTCCAGGCTTTCAAAGTGAAGGAAGCCTGCTGAAGCAAATAATAAGGTAGGTATTTCACTTTATTTCTATCCGCCCTTGACAAAAATGAGCATTTTTGACGTGTGGAGGAGGGCCCATTGTAAGAGTTTGTTTTGCAGCTTCTTAGATAGGCAAAAAGAGTCAAACTATTGATTCCTAAGTTTTATTTTTTCCGAAGGTAAATTAACCAGTTAAGGACTTTGCATGTGTGGCCCACACCCTAAACAATGTAATGAAGCACTATACTTTGGGCATATGCCCTGTCCTTCATCCCTGCGTGATACAAAGCTTCTAAACTTCACTGAGATATAAGGTATAATAACATTCGGCCTCTTTCACACAGGCGGTGGACTTTAGGGCTTGTTCATACTACTAATCAATATATATAAAGCTGTGTGGGGGGCTATTGATTTTGTTTATGGAATGGAGGGTGGACTGAGCAACTCAGAAAACTGTAAATGTAAATAAAATACGTGCAAATCATACAGTTGAGTACAATCCGTGGTATTTTTTTTATTTGCACTAACAGTTAAATTTAAAAGAACCAGCTTTCAGGGTCTTCTGAAACAAAGGGTTAATGATGGTTTGAATAGTTAGAAGCTGCCTTTTTTTTTGAGCTGCCTTTTTCAGCACAACATCGCACATGTATGGTGTGAACAGGGCAATAGAAAACAATACGGGTGCGGAAAATGCATCTCGATGGACATGCCCATTCATTTTGCATTGAAATGCTGCACTGCAAGTGTACATGGTTCTAGCATGGTCATGTAAACTTCAATAGGCATGTTTGGCAAGCAGCGCCGCCTGCCAAACATGTCCATTTATTGGACATAGACGTCACACAATCACAAGAGCCAACGTTTCGAGACCACGCAGGGTCTCTTCATCAGGGCATAAAGAGTGACATAAGTCACTCTTTAGGTCCGCCCTCTGTGACACGCCCCGATCCACTGTGACACGCCCCCACCTCGGAGCTGTTCTTGGCCGCGCCACTGTAGGAGATGCGGCTCTGTTATAGCGGCAACGGCAGTGTACTGCCGTCGCCGCTTTAACAAACCCGCGTCCTCTTCCATGCGGCCTGAAAAGGGCATGGGGGTCGGTGACGGGCCCCCTCTTTGGCTGTGGGCCCTCGGGCAATGCCCAACTGCCTGTATGGGCAGTCTGCCCCTGCACTGCGGGGGCTCTTGTGATTGTGTGACGTCTATGTCCAATAAATGGACATGTTGGATTATTCTACTGAGTGCTGGTGATTCCTTTTCCTACATTGTGTCTGCACGGTGCCATCCGTGTTCATCACTACAAGCACCATTGTCTACATAGGCCTGGATTGCTGCAAGGTGTGCAGAGGATTTCCCCTTCTATCCAGCCTGCCAAACATGACATGCTGAGTTAAATTTGAGAAGCCAAGGCAATATATGTGATCATTTAGGGGCAATGTATTCAAACCTTTAGGGGCTAGTTAATTTGTAGGTAACCAGTCAGGAAGGGGAGGCAGTACAAACACAGATCAACCATCTGCTTTTATAACTTAACCTTATTATCTCATTTTCTATAAGTATAATCTTATTCACTGTTTCATGTGCAGATAAAAGGGGTGAGCTTTGGTGTCAGTTAAAACAATGTAAGGTGTAAAAAAAAAACTTCCTATTGAAATCATCATTAACCCTTTGTTGCAGAAGACCCTGAAAGCTGGTTCTTTTAAATTTAACTGTTAGTGCAAATACAAAAAATATCACGGATTGTACTCAACTGTATGATTTGCACATATTTTATTTACATTTACAGTTTTCTGGGTTGCTCGGTCTACCCTCCATTCCATAAACAAAATCAATAGCCTCCCACACAGCTTTCTATGTATTGATTAGTAGTATAAAGAAGGAGCGAACAGTGCCATGGAAACCGCATATCACAGGGGTATTCTTCCGCCCTGGAATGCCTAAGCGTTCCTTCCAGGAATGTGATTGGCTGAGCATCCCAGATTTACGCCGCGTATTCCATGTACGTCACTTCCGTTACACATCCTGGGAAAGCTGTCGGTGCGGAGCGCTATTACTGGATCAGAGAAGGCAGATTCGACGTTTTGTAGTAGCTGCCAGGTATGGCGAAAGGAGCGGAGTATTCATTCAATAACATGTTTACTAATAATGTATAATAGTGTAAACTCGTCTGCCGCGCTGACCTCCTATTCAAGTCACAGCTGCGCTTTTATCATTGTGTAGCATGCAGTCAGTGCCCATACATACATTGTTTATCCGGATCTATATCTCTGTGTTGTCAGTAATCTGTTCCCTGCTTTGTTTTTCCTGTTGCAGCTCTGCTGTGCTGAATGTTTACCTCTAAAGAACACAATTGTCAGTGATGGGGAGGATAAAAGATATTACATATCAGTAACAAAACCTTTCAACTGAGAATTGTTCTGCTCAGAATTCAACATGCAGTGGGCTAGATATGCGTAAATAATGCTATATGAAAAATAAATAGAAATATTGAGAAAACCAGATAGGTTAACTACATAAGAGCAAAGGAAAAAGAAAAGGTAAAAGAAAGAAGAAAAGAGAGTAAGGATAGAGAAAAGCTAAGGAGGAAAAATCCTAGGGGGCAGAAGTCAAACTGTTAAGGGCTCAATAGATTGGGACCAAATTGCGATGCTTGGGAATTGACAATCCAGGGCTTCCACGTTTGGAGAAATTTATCATGGGTGTCTTCCAAAATAGCTGTCAACGTCTTATTAATCATAATCTGGGTCAGGCGACTTTTGATGGCCTCAAAGGTCAGGGTCGGAGATTTCCAGGCTTTAGCAATAAATATATATTGCCCAACAAAGTATTTCTTTAAGTTGTTTGCCCAAGCACTTAGTCATCATGTTTCCAAACAGCTGACTCCCGCTCTCTCAGTTCTTAAAGAAGATTTAGATTAGATAGTCGGTTCTTAGACCAATCCTTGGTCTAAGGTCCTGTAAATCATCCCGTTATATGCCGAGGGATATTCCATTGCTGCAGCATAGTTGGAGGGAGGATGGAGGGAGTGCTGTCACAGCTGGCCAAGCCTGAGGATCGGGTGAGTATAACTTTCTTTTACTCTCTAGACCAAAATGAGCAGTTCACCCTTGCATTAAAGGGGTAGCCCTTCTACAAGGGTTGGTTAATCATTTTCCCTGGAGTTCTGCTTTAAAGCCCAACTCCATATTTTTTAATAATTAAAAAAAATAATGGCACAGCAGTTTAAAAAAAAATCAGCTTTAGCTGCAATACTTACTTTCAATCTGAAGCTGCCCCCCACAGTACTTCTTCCTCCTACTAGATGCCGCTACGAGCTTGAATGACAGCCAATGTCATGCAGCCCACTTTCTATGAGCCAAGGCTGTCATAGCCTGGGGGCTCATCATCATGCCATAGTGGGCTCACAGTACTCCTGGACTGCACTACACTGCACTTACCATCATTATGTCAGTGCTCGTGTTGTCCAGGAATAAGGTCAACCTACTGCCTCTGCCAAGGGATAGGAGGAAGGACCCGTGACTGACATCCTGGACTGCCCAGAAGACTGCAGGAATAAAAGTGGCCAGGAAGGGAGAGAGATTGGAGGCTGTGGGTAAAAGTGAAGTTGGGCTTTAAAAAAGAAGGGATCCCTGGATCAACTGCTTCTGAGGCAACAATTAGATGAAATGTGGGATCAGAAATGGAATACATAGAGGAAGGGATATAAGAATTTCCTCAGCAACAGCTGGGGGTCTAAATAACTCTTTTGACATTCTTAGTGTAAAATAATTTCTGTAAATATGTGTTTTCATTTCCCCAGAATGCCAAGGATAAAGACTACAAAAATACGGAGAATAAAGAGAAAAGTGCTATCTCAGAGGCTTGCTGCAAAAAGAAAGAAAACATATTTGCAGGTTATATACTGTGGTATTTAACTGTTTATATATGACTTAATTTCTTAAGCTGTCTTGTATAGTGCTAAGTATGAAGTGCGCACATTTAATAGTGATCTGTAACTCCTCGCATTCATGTTTACATGAGACCTTGTACTCATGAGCTGTTATCACTGTAGCTAAAGATTTCTAAAGCTCACCACACATGAGAAAATCTGATTGTACAATCTCTATTAACTCTACCAACAAGAGCCTGCCTATTTGGGTACAAATTAAATGGAATGTTAAGATAGGTTCTAATTTTACATATTTTGGTAAATCTAGAGGGGATTGTACAAAGAGTGTATAGTAAGATTATAAGGTGTATTCTAAGCTTTACTCCAATGTAGTATGGGTGGATAGTGCACTGTGGAGATTGGTGAATGTATGTCAGGTTGCAGCTCATTACCCAGGAAGAAATTTACAATCTCCTTTTAGACCTCCCTTTTGCATTACCAACTATACCTATAGAGAAGTTAACAGACAAACCTGCTGATAAAAAAAGTGCTATGTTCTCATTGCTTACATTTTTTTCTGTTTACCATCGTCATTCCAGTTAGAAAGCTATAAATATTTTTTAAAGGGGAAGTACACGAAATGAAATTGAAAAAGACAGCAGGAGATGAGAGTAAAATGCTTGGGTGGCAATACAAGGAAAAGGTGGAAACGAGGTGCTGAACACAGATCTGTCAGAGGAAAACAGTTAATATGTGGACCTGGTGGCTTGATTTCTGCAGCTGTCCACAAAGCAGGAGGCTCCTCACAAGTAGGGGTCATCTATTCTCATGTAATAGAGCCAATAAGAGCATCAAAGCCATTGTATTATTTCAAAGTTTTTCATTCCCCCAGCAAAGCATTCGCAGGAAGGCATGCATATCTCCTCCCAAGACCTGGGGATCTCTGCTCTAAGTCCATTGAGTACTTCAACATATGGTTTAAGCCCTGGTGAAGGGTAATTGTCTGGCCCCAGAAACGCCTTGCCTTACAGTTGCTTGGTTGTGGAATCAGTAAAAGACTTTGGACTCCTAATATGTGTTTGTGGTGCATTTATGGGCTCTGTTACATGTTTAGTCAAGGTGGCAGTACACACATGGCTTTGTTATACACTTTTGGTATTTGGTGAAAATATGGATCAAGAATGCAATTTCTCTGCAACATATGCAAGTGATTTATTAAAAACAATAATTTAATTGATCTTAATTACGATAGGCTCTCTGAAGCACCGCAGATATTTGTTCAATCAGATGCGTTGATCAAATTCTACATTGGCGTGACAAAATCGAAAATTGATTCAAAGTTCACTAAATTGACTTTTGATTTGGATATTTTATTCAAGTGATGAGTTTCATTGTATTGAATGATTGATTGTGTGATCATATCGATACATGTGTGGCCACCATTAAAGCTGGATTTCAGACTTTAAATAATCCGCTAAAAACACAGATCAAATACATATAAGAGAGTTGTGTTACCTGCCAAAGGATTTGTATTTCTGTCCATGTATTCCTTAGATTTAAACAGGAGGATGACACCATGTTTTCTGTTACAGTTATGGACTGTTGATGAGATACATTGGTGTCTTCTTTCCACTGCCAATCTTCTGATTGGACAGTTAAAGTGCAGCAGCAGACTAATGTGGTAATCTCTCTGCTCCATTTCGTCTCTCCTCCTTTCATCATGTTCCATGTCTGCACATTTGCAGGTAGCATACCTGATTGGCTCCCAATGCTGTCCCTTGCAATCCATGTCTGAGTCTCATTCTGCAGGGCATTGCAAGAGGCTGACTTTGTGTCAAATTCAAGTACTTACACTAGTTGTATAAAAAATAAATGTAATGATTTTATTATTTTGTGTTATTTTTGTAATACATAGCTGTATAATTTTGGCTTTTGTATCAGCTTGAAGTTCAGTTTGTATTGCAATTTCCATGCTGCCTTCCCAGTTATAGCTGTCTGAAAGCTATATCTGAAGTGCAGTAGCAGTGTTAGTGAAATGCTTCTGGATTCGGCGTTCTCTTTTTCTTGTCTCAGCTATTTAATGAGTGGAATGAATTGCTGCAGTGGAATTCTAAGGTTCTGCAGTTTGCAAGTACAGAGTGGGCTCCTTGCACAATTTTTGGAGAGCCATAACTCAAAAAGGACAGCAGTGAGCACTGAAGTGTAATGTGCCACTCATTTTAAAAGCAGAGGTATAGTGGTATCATGGGCATACCAAAGAAAAAATCACAACTAGCTGCTAATGAGTTTTGTGCCATTTCTTTTTGCTTTCATCCACTTCATTGTAACAGCAATAATTAGTAACTGTGTTTATAAAATGGCCGGAGTGCACACAATTATCAAAATTTGTGTTTGTACAAGCGTAGTGGCAGCCATTTCACTAAAAAGATTGACAGTTTCCATAATGCAGAAAAGATCACCCCATGAGGGCATTGACCTTCTACTAGCTGTGTAGAAGAAAGGGGTTACAATTGCTTTCTTCTTGAATTATAAGTTTATAGGAAATGTTTACTTTTCAAACATGTCCCATAAGATAAACTTGGTGGTTTTTAGCCCCCTACAGACTTTGAAGACGTTGCTGTGTATTTCTCAAAGGAAGAATGGCGATATCTAGCAGCAGACCAAATGGACCTTTATCGACAAGTAATGATGGATAATTACCAAACAATCTACTCTCTGGGTAGGTTGAAAAATCTCAAGTAAAATAGCAGCATAATTTGTCTAAAGACGTAGAGATAAACGTTTGCCTTTAGTGGTTGTATAAGCATTTATACAATTTCTTTAACCTTTAAAAGAGTTGTAATGTTTAATTTACTGGCCCAAGGCATGCTTATTGTGAAAAGATGTGTTTAAAATGCATACCAGCCCACCTGATAAATAAATAGTACAAATAACACTAAGAGGTTGGGTTAGAACATTGTACATCCACAAATTAATTCCCATTGACTGCTAACAACAACAACATACTAAAATACAAATTTTAGTATGTTGTTGTTGTTAGCAGTCAATGGGTTACCTGGGTGTGGCCTTGGACTAACTCAGGCAGTGCTAGTATATGAGCCACCAGACAAGAGGACCCTTGGCATTGGTGGTGAACTTGGACATTTGGACTGAAATGAAAATGAATACCGCATGAGTTTGGTATTTTTGGGTAGCAAGTGAAAAGATGTGTTCAGCCTGACTGCTGAATAAATGGCACAGGCAGTGCTATGGGGCTCATTTAAAAAGCATCAGTATGGTGGTATCCTGGGCATACCATTTCTCCAAAAAATGTGCATTGCGCTATTGCAGTCTCCCAAAACCAGCAGGGCTCGTTTATGTGACTTTTTATAGTCACATGCTTAGGTGACAGGATTGAATGCATTGAAACCGTGAAATTCTCTTATCGTAACCCATTGGTGTAATGGTGACATTGATGCAGTGTCTGAATACTGGGTTGGTGGCTTCTGCACACCAAAGGGCTTCCATCGTCACCTTGGGCTGTGACTGGAATGAGTGAGTCTAGAGATTGAAGAAACACAACTCGCAAGAGCATTGCACCCATGATCTACTGATGCCTGTTGCAATGCTTTACTGGCGCCATTGCAAAAATAAATAAATGAATGCACATATTTTCTTTTATGAAAAAGTGTGCATTTATCCTTCTTTCTGAAAAAGTTGACTTTCCATTTAACAATAGTAATAATGCATAGAATACATGCAAATGCTTTGGAAAAACACAAAATTGACTTCTGTGTGCTGCCCAGAAATGTGTGGGCATGTATCCTCATCAATCTTTTTTTTTTGTAACGATAAAAAATAGAATATTAACCATACACAACTTACATCCTCCACCAGTCTCCACCTGGGATCCCACCGGGTGCTGATCATAAGCCCCTCCTTGCTTATCCAATATACTCCAAACAAACATGATAGTACTCCGCTCCTCTTTACTGTAAACATTAATTCAACCATATGTTGTGGTACACAGTACACAGCATCTCCACTTCTTCTACCTCCCACCTCTAACGTGTTTCAGCTGTATAGGCTTACTTATAGAAATGCGTTTGGGTGGGTGGTAGAAGAAGCGGAGACGCTGTGTACCGCATCATATGGTTGAATTAATGTTTTTATTACAAAAAAAAATCCATCCAGCTATTTAGAATACAAATGTGCATCAGTTCATCATGAGTAAGGGTATATTTCTTTATCAAATCCCAAAGAACAAAAAAGTGTATAAAATTAAATTAAAAATTATAAAAAATGTTTCAAATTGTTAAATTGATATTTTTATCTTGAATAGTTGACATGCCCTTATTATATAACTGTTTGTATTATATGTTTGCTTTCTACTGTGAAATGTGTGTAGGGGGTCCTGTAAGCATTAAAGTGACATTAAAGGCAAAAGCGTTTTTCCCTCCCCCCAATGTTAATTAAAGCACTTACCTTAAATGATGTCTCTTAATCCGTTCTTCCTCTTCTTTCCTGTCCTTTGCAGCCTCCTCTCCAGCGGTGCTGCGCTGACTCCTCTGTCCTTGCTGGCACTTCCTGTCCCACGGTGTCTGCATGCGGGTGCACGCGTCCATAGACTTACCTTGCGTCTCTCGTCTCCCGGCCGAAAATCCGAACTGCGCATGCGCCCGCCCCAAGATGCTTTGCGGCTGCCCGAGCATTTTCGGATTTTTGCATATACTTTTTGCATATATCTACTGCTTGCTAGTAGATATCTGAAAAAAACGGAGGGTTTAGAAACCCTTTAAGTGCAGAAATACACAATTTATTGAGGGTGATGACAGAATTTGTGTCTGTTCAGGTAGATTATAAGGGGGTTAAGAGCTGTGTACAAAGGGATTACTTTACATTCCTTATTTTTGTAAATTTGTTTCGGTTCCAATTAGTACCATCGATACTCTGAATTCAACAACAATACAGATGTATTGTATTCTTCTTTCTTTTCTTCAAAAACTTTTTTTTCTGGTTTTCACTTAGGATACCAGAATGAAAAACCAACTTTAATATCAAAAATTGAACAAGATGAAGAGCTGTATATGATAGAATTGGAGAAACATTCTCAGGGTGAGTTTGCAGGACGTATATTAGAGTTATATGTATTGTATTTAGTGTAAAAGTAAACCTGTAATGTATTAATTATAACCCAGCTCCAGCTTTACATTATTTAATTTTTTAATACACCACTCACCCTCTCCACACTCTGGTGCTGGTTTCTCCATCCTCCTTGCTCTGCTAGAATGTGGTCCTACAAATACAGCTAGCATAAGTATCTAATTATGTATTCATACAGGGGTGTGGAAATACTTGTCCGAGGACTAAAGCTGGGGCCCAATCTGCTTGTCCCTCATGAGAATCTACTTGTCGTGATACTAAAAATAATCTTAACCGTATTTAGTTTGCTAAGAAGTGCTTCTCATGATTGGCCGCGCTGACCAGCGGGTGCTCGCAATTTGCGAGTACAATTCAAAATCCATGGCACAGGGCTGCACTTGATAGCAGTGTGGGGTACAGATGGTACACCTGTACCGGCAGAGGGGAAGAACCATTTGCCGAAAAGTAAGTATAGTTTAGGGGGGACAGGAAAGGGGGCCAGATTTGAGCAGGTAATGGCATTTTCCCAAATTACTTGCAAAAGTGAGCTTATCCTTTAATGCACATTGTGAGTGTTAGAGAGTGCTGCTGCCCGGCCACCACAATATGGCACACAGTGAAATGGGGTCAGCACTCGGCGCACACACACAATGCCTTACGCATGCGTTTATTCGCATGCAGATGAAGGGGTTTTGATTTTTTTGTCACTGTCACTTTTTTCCCATTTTTATTTATCGTATACTTTTTATTTTTTACTTTTTATAATTTTTTTAAAAAATTTGTATTTTTTTTCCACTTAACTTTATTGCTATCACACATGGGTGAACAGTGGGGATGGGGGCGTTGGGGGGGATGACAAGTGGGCTGCTTACAAGTGATCTTGGGCGGCTCACTTGTACAAAATGGCTTCCCTGCACTACATTTAGCCCTGCTTGCCCGAAACAGGGATAAATGTAGGGGGGAAAAAACAGCTGCCCGATGCACGGAAACTGAATGTCCCAGGCGTCAGGCGATAGGAATTCCACACCTCTGTTATATCTGCTTAGTGTATTCTCCTAAATGGGGGCATGGAGATTTAGAATAAGACCCAACCTAGAATTTACTAGTTTGCACAGTGCAACACGGGGAACAATTTTACAGGAGGGGAAGCACTATCATGCATGCATCTAAATTTCCCATTAGACATATTGGTCTGCTCATCTACTTATTGGAAGGTAGGCCTTATTGTTTATGTCTATAGATAACGTGTTATGTGGTAAAGTGACGGTGTTAGCCTCTCAGCTGCTTCCATGGTTGCCAGGACACATCTGATGCCTTCCTTTTTTGTTATTGGGATGTGGTAAGAGGCATAATTCATTTCAGAAAAACCATACTAACTATTTAAAAAGGCTTTTTGTATAACAAATACTTCAGGCTAAACTTGTTCGAGCAATCTAAAAATAGGGCAGTTTCTACATATTGTATATATTCTGAATGATCTATTTTTGCTAAGTAAATACATAACATTTCAGTTTTTCCCGAAGGCACATTTAAATCTTTTTACAATGGATAAAAACGGGCAAGTTTTTATTAATGTCTTCCTTTTTATTATAGTGACACTAAACTCAGGAGTTAAACCTTAAAAATGCATTTAACTACCTTAACTACTAACAATAATGTATCTTATTTGTGTATCACTCAGCTGTAGATCCTCAAATAATCTCTGAATTCATGCTGACACCAGCCTTTAATCTGGAGGGTGGCTACTTTTGTTCTTCATGGTAGCCACCACTCCAAGCTCGCTCCTGTGATAGACTACAATCTCAATACAAATTAGTAAACTAAACATGAGATTGTAGCTTGGAACAGTGACCATGGGGAACAAAAGTAGCCACCCTCCAGAAGGAAGCTTAGTGTCAGCAAGAATTTAGAGATGATCTGAGGATCTACAGCTGAGTGATACACAAATAAGGTACATTTTTGTTAAAAGGTAAGGTACTTAAATGTATTTTTAAGATTTAAGTCCTGAGTTTAGTGTCACATTAAGTTAGAACTTTGCCCCATCAGCAACTTTTTACATTAAAACAGAATTTTTGTATTCCTTTACTTTTCTAGCTGGATTTTTTTTCATTTAAAAGAGGTTTGTATGTATGTATACAGCACATGTGTCTCTAAGCTCTTTCTCAACACTCTGCAAAAAAAAAAACACTCAAAAGACTGTCTTCCTTTAATCAGATTATTGCCATTTCCCCTTTTAATGCTCACACGTAGACCTATAAAATATTTTGTATGCCTTTTTGTAGATGCCCCCAGATTCATCACAGAAGAGCTACATACATCTCTGTTAAGACCTGAAGAATTTACATTGAAAGACGTGCATTTAACAAGTGACGTAGAAAATAGTACAAAATCTTCCTCTAATGAAAATGGGAGTCTACCCCCCAGACAGTACAACTTTCGAGACAGAGGTGCAGTGGAGTACACCATGTTTTACGATGATAAAATAAGTAAGCTTAAACCTCGCAAGAGCTTGCAGAGGAAGTCAAGCTATGGCAAATCTGTTGATGTCCCCAGATTCAACACAGAAGAGCTACATACATCTCTGTTAACACCTGTAGAATTGACAGTGCAAGAAGTATACTTAACAGGTGACCTAGAAAACAATACACAAACATCCTCTAATGCAAAGGGAAGTCTGCCCTCTAAACGTCAGTACAACTTCCGAGACAGAGGTGCAGTGGAGTACACCATGTTCTATGATGATAATGAAGATGATGTAAGTAAAGCTAAATTTCACAAAAGCTGGCAGAGGAAATCAAGCTATGGTAAAATTGTAGATACCCCCAAATTCAACACGGAAAAGCTACACACATCTTTGTTAACATCTGAAAAATTGATGGTGGAAGAAATACACTTTACTGATGACCTACAAAACAATACAAAAACATCCTCTAATGCAAAGGGAAGTCTGCCCTCTAAACGTCAGTACAACTTCCGAGACAGAGGTGCAGTGGAGTACACCATGTTCTATGATGATAATGAAGATGATGTAAGTAAACCTAAATCTCACAAAAGCTGGCAGAGGAAATCAAGCTATGGTAAAATTGTAGATACCCCCAGATTCAACACGGAAAAGCTACACACATCTTTGTTAACATCTGAAAAATTGATGGTGGAAGAAATACACTTTACTGATGACCTACAAAACAATACAAAAACATCCTCTAATGCAAAGGGAAGTCTGCCCTCTAAACGTGAGTACAATTTCCGAGACAGAGGTGCAGTGGAGTACACAATGTTTTATGATAATGAAGTGAGAGAACTTAAACCCCATAAGAGCTTGCAAAAAAAGTCAAACTATGGCAATATCCAACCAAAGTGTGGCAGATATACTTGTAGTGAATGTGGGAAAAGCTATAGTCAAAAACCAGGGCTAATGAAACATCAGAAGATCCATACTGGCATTTCTATCTATGTTTGTTCAAAATGTGATAAGTGTTTCACTCAACGTGCTAACCTCAAGAGACATGAGAGATGTCATTCTGTAGAGAGACCCTTTGTCTGTTCTTACTGTGGAAAAGGCTTTACTGAATCTTCATCATTACTCAAACATCAGAGAATTCACACTGGATTTAAGCCATTTGCATGTTCGGAATGTGGCAAGACCTTCAGCATAAGTACCTACCTTATTGTCCACCAGAGAACTCACACAGGAGAGAAGCCATATGTCTGTGCAGACTGTGGGAAAAGCTTTACTCAAAGTTCACATCTCATTACACACCAGAGAACTCATACAGGCATAAAACCGTATGCTTGCATAGAATGTGGGAAGGCCTTTACTTCTAGTTCCCACCTTATCACTCACCAAAGAACTCACACAGGAGAACGACCTTACCATTGTGGGGAGTGTGGGATGGCTTTCAAACATAGTACCCATCTTGTTCTACATAAACGCAAGCATACTGGTGAGCGGCCCTATAAATGTACTAGGTGTCCACGGACCTTTGCCCAGAGACCGCAGCTCCTGAAACACCAACAAAAACGTCATGCATATGAATAGTTTTAGGATTCATTTATGTCTCTTTTTATTCACCTCTTATTTATTTATTTTTGTAATATACAGTATGTCCCACAAATGTGTATTTAAAAAAAAAAGTGCAAAACATATTTAATTTTCGTGTCCTTTCTGCCTTTACCACCTGACTGTCGTATTACCAAAAATATCAAAAGGATTTTCCAGTGCAGCATGTAAACTTGTCATGAAAGAAATATGTTGGAAGCCATTGCTGACTCCCTTTTTAAAATGCTGGTTTCCTGGCTATCGTACCAGTGATTTAGCTTTAATGCTTTATGCACTGGCCTATATACAAAAACACAAAATAAAGGGGCGGCTCTAGGTAGCATAATTTGTAAGGAAATGGCGTCACAAATCAAATTTAAATCTACTCAGGGCAGTATGGTGCACCAAGGCTTAAAACCCTCAATAGGCATATAATGTTATCCACATCTAAAGGGCTCCACAGTGTCACAATTCTGATAAAGCCTTCTCCCATCAAGGACCTGCAGGATGCTTCTCTAAACATATCCAGGTATTCTGCATTGATCTGAATGAAGCATATCGTTTTGGAATTTTGACTTTTCTTTAGATTATATTTGTGGCATGCTTTCTCTGAGTCAGTGGAAATTTAGAAACCAGACACCTCTCAGAAGAGAAACATTAGTTGTAGCCCCCATATTTTTTATCGGGAAAGGGAAGGCAAAAGGGGAGAGGTTATATCAGCACCTTTCCTCCCCACCTACTCACCCTCCCTCTACCCCCTACTGCATGTTTTTTTCGTACCTTGTGAAGCAAGATATAATCTCCTAAAGCCACTGTCCGTGACCCTCGTCTATGCCATTACAAATGTGCCAGTGTCATTCAACTCCTGACCGTGCCATGACAACATCGCTGCAGACACCACTTCTAAATCCTTAACTGACCCTGCTGTTGGATATCCAGTAGGACGGGTCTGCATCATGCAGGCAATGATGTAGATCTACAAAGAATGACACCCTACTTTCTCATTATAAAAAAATTAAAAGGATTTTCCAGTGAAACTTGTCTGCATGTAGATTGGCTATTGCAATAGCAGGCTGACTACTGAAACCTTGCCCACTAAGCAGAGGAGCGGACTGAGAAATAAATTTCTCTCTTAGATCCACTCCTCTGCTCAGTAGATGGAGTTTCAATAGCCAGCCTGCTATTGGCTATTTCAAATTGCTTTAGCCAATAGCGGGCTGGCCATTGCTCCCCATTGTTTACATTCTGCGGAATCTAGCCGCCAGTAAGATGATGACTGCCTGACCCTTCTTTGGTTGCCGCCTTCCTCCACTCCTCCCTGGACACAACTAGGTGCTTGTCTCCTGCTTTGTCCACTACTTACTGGTTTCCGACCTGGACTGCCTGACAACTCTCTGCTTATTGTCTGCCAGAACCCCTGCCTCATTCCGACCATATCCTGGTCTACTGTCTCTGCATGGAAGCCATGCTATCCTCGCCCATTCCTTGGGAGAACGATCCTTAGATCTGTGGCCTTTGCACCAGCACACAGTTAAACCCATCTGCACCATTAGGAGCTCAGGTGAAAACACGTCTAGTGCTTACCCTCCGCATCTCAGGTGAGCCTGTGTCACCTGCCAGGGTGTGTTGCCCTAACAATTAGTACCTCTGCTTATGTGTTTTGGGCCACCTTCTCTTAATCAGAGTGGAAGATATGGGAAACTCATTACATTTAAATAGACATTAAGGACTGGGGAAAACCACCAAAAAGGGTGCATAAAAAGGGAGGACTGAGATTGAGGCTAAGGTGACAAGTGGCTGCACCAGCAGATGACAGCAGTCAAAAGGGGGATTGTTCTTCATAGAGTGGTAGAGCAGCAGCTGGCCGGTGTTCAGGAAGTGACACGGCTGCTTCCTGAATGCTGTTTTTTTTTGTTTATCCCAGTAGGGATAAACAAATACTGGTACAATACCATGCGATATGCTGTTTAAAAATTGCTATGACACAAACCATTGCGGGTGTGGCATGTGTACAAACATGAGCCACCACTATAATAAGTTTTAGGTGGGCGATAAAAATGCAGATGCACTGCCTGTTTTGACCCCCCCTGGGCCATCTCTGTGAATAAGGCCATATAGTCATTTTTGTAGACTTATAGAATCTTTTTAAATGATTTAGATTAGATCCCCAAGGTCAGATTCTCATTTATACATATATTAAAAAGGGCTATATGGCCTTTAATAAATCTCAAGCACAATGAAAATACAGGTTTTGCCATCGAACCCAAACAACATACATAGCAACCCACAATTCTGTACCAAGCTACATCACCAACCTCACCTCAAAATATCAGCCAAACTGTTGTCTCCGCTGTTCCCAAGTCCTCCTTCCCCCTAGCTGGTCAGCACAAACGCTGTTCACAAAAGGAAAGGCGTGATGCACAATAATCATTGCAGCAGAGAGGACAGTTTGGATGATAGTTTGAGATGAGGTTGGTGATGTAGCTTGGGAAAGGGTTGTGGGTTACTATGTATGTACAATCTGCAAAATACAGGTAAAGGCCAGTGAGTGATCCGGCCTACAGTTCTTTAATTACAAGGGAACCATTTTGTCACGTACAAAAAAAAGAAAATCCATAAAATTCCAGGCTACCATGCACGCACTACAGATTTGGTGGCATATCTTCTTAGATGTCCATGCTCTCGGACTTAAAACAACGGGCATGCTCAAATAATGTTCAAAAAAATCTTTGCATTATGGTAAGGAACTGGATGCTTCCAAGCCTGTTGGTTTACATTTTGCAAAACCTGTTCATCAAGTTCATGAATTGAGGAGAACTGTCTTTACATATGTGCTCCTGTCATATGTGCCTTCTCTTTAAGTTACCTCAATAGATGATAAATCTGTATCTAACAGCAGGTAATCAGTAATGTAGTGTCTGATTATGTTACATAGTTACATAGTATTTGAGGTTGAATAAAGACATATGTCCATCAAGTCCAACCTATTTGTGTATGTGTGTATGGTCCTATTGGTGTGTATAGGTCCATGTGTGTTCTCAATCTTAAGAGTACTTGTACCCCTCTATATTACGGTCCCTGATGAAATCGTCCAATCGCCTCTTGAATGATTCCACACTCTCGGCCGAAATAACAGCATGTGGCAGCGAGTTCCAGACCTTGACTGATCTAACTGAGAAGAAACCCCTTCGCCCCTTGCGCTGAAATTTTTTCTCCACCAATTTTAAGTGGTGGCCTCTCGTTCTTGTCATCAAGTTAATTGTAAAAATTTTGTTGCTAATGTTACTATCCCCGTTAAACATTTTATACATGAAAATCATGTCCCCAGCCTTAATCTCCTTACTTCCATGGAGAACATAGCTCAGGTCATCCATCCCCTTTATGAGTTTGGTTGCCCTCCTCTGGACTCTTTCCAGTTCAAGGACATCTTGTCTGTTCACTAGTGCCCAAAACTGGACCGCATACTCCAGATGAGGCCGAACCAGTGATCTATAAAGTGGCACAATTACGGACTTATCCCTGCAAAACATTCCTCTCTTAATACAGGAAAGGACTCTACTTGCTTTATTTACTGCAGCCTGACACTGAGAGCTATTATTCAGCCTTAGTCTACAATGACCCCCAAATCTGTTTCCCTTTCTGACTTTCCGAGGGGAGCTCCCATTAGTGCGTAATCTGTTTATCTACATTAAACCTTATCTGCCATGTGGTTGCCCACTCCCCTATTTTATCCAGATCCCCCTGTAATGTTATAGCATCAGATTCAGTGACTATTACCCTCCCGATTTTGGTATCATGAGCAAACACTGAAACATGGCTGTTTACCCCCTCCTAATATCATTAATGAATAGGTTAAACAGCATGGGGCCCAGCTTCTCTCTCTCATTTTCAAATTTTACCTGGGCAAACTGAAATGAGATGCTGATTGCCATGAGGAACTGCTCCAGATTCTGTTCGCTACAGTTTTGATAAATTCCCCTCAATGTTTTCAACATACAAGAGTGAACCCTTCTTCACATGAAAAAGATCTAAAACATTAAAATGTTTGAAAAAAACAGGCTTTTGTACAGAAAGGGCTGTCTTTTTTTCTAATCCTGTGCCTATTTTCATGCTTCCTTCTGAAGGCATTCTTCAAATGAGGGAAATACTTTCTAATTTTGATAGGTTGTGCCACTTCCTCCTAATTGATAACTTAATTTATAGTTTAAATTAAAGAGTTGACTAGGAAAAAAATCAAAAGCTACGCCCAATAAAATCATTTGGATAGTAGAACCCCAGGTACTGTAAGTCAAGTCTGTTTTCCCAATTTATGAGACTGCTAAGAACTAAGCCAGGATCAGAAAAAAAACAGGTGGAATAGTGGGCATGTCTGGAGGATGAAGGCCTCTGATGGCGATGATGGAATTTATCAAGAGAAGTGCAGTGCAAGCAGTTAGGGCTCCTCCTATGATGTTTAAGAAGATCCTTAAAGCAACTCCTTATCTCCCCCCCCCCTCTCCTTATCTTGGTGGAGACTAGACATGAGCACTGCCAAAAAATTTGTTTAGTTTCGTTTCGTTTTAAATTCGGATTTGTGTTATTTCGTTTTTCAGGATTCGGGTGTGAAAGTCAATTCGGAATTCGGATTCGGACGAAATTCGGTAGCGTTAGTACGAACGTTCGTTTCGTTTTCTGTTCTTATTCGTTTCTTATTCGTTTCGTTCGTTCGTTTGCAGCAAAAGTGACATTTGAGGGGGAAAAAATATTTTTCTCCTTCTCTAATGTCACTTTGCTCCAACGAACGAAACGAATAAGAAACGAAAAAGAACAGAAAATGAAACGAACGTTCGTACTAACGCTACCGAATTTTGGAAATTCGGATTCGTTTGCATTCGTTATGTCTGTAATTCGGAATTCGGATACATCCGAATTTCCGAAAATTCGTCCGAATTTCAATTCGGAACGAAACGAATCGCACATGTCTAGTGGAGACCTACCTCTTGAGGTTCAGCTGCAAAAAAAGGAACCAGTAGGGAACACTTCCTTTTTTGTATTGATGCCCAGGACTGATAGAGTTCTTTAGCACCCCCAATGCTCAGGAGGTGGTTCCAGCATGGGTCATACATTTATGTGAAAACCACATGATCCCATATGGAAATGTAATTTTCATCTAAACTGGTAAAGTGTTTTATCAGTTCACTTTCAGTGAACCACACGCTTGGCTTACAATTTTAAACTTCTAGATTTTAAACATTTGTAATCCAGAGGGGATTGACCGGTTTTAACCACCCCACCATATCTCCAGTTCCATTAAAAAAATACACATTTCCTTTACAACTATATTTGAAGAAGAAAGCAAATGTATCCCCCATCTTGTCCACATCTATTATCCCCCATATGATCGCCAGGAGTCCAAATTTACAAAACATTATGGGGTCTATTCACTAAGCTGCTGTAGGCAGCCGAGTGATTAACCGACCCCAAGCGAAGTGAGCTGTTCGGCTATTCACTTCAGGCTGGTACGGCTGATTCCAGCCGTATATCGGCTGAAATCAGCTGTACGTCGGGTGGCTTCGGTTGGCCGAACATGCTCAGCATGTTCGGCCAAACCGAAATGCAGAAAGAGTTCGACTCAGCCGATCCAACATCTGGATCGGCTAAGCTGAACCTCCGGCAGGCTACTCGCTGCTGTTCGGTCTATTCTCATAGATGCCGAACAGCAGTGAGTAAATAGCCGAATGCCGCTGAGCACCATTCGGCTCGGCTATTCTGCTCGTTCCCTCTGTAGGACTGAGCAGAATAGAAAAAAAGATTAGAAAACGATTGTGCGGAGCTAGCAGTGACAGCTAGCTCCGCCCCAACTGTTTTCTATTGGCCGGGCGGTTCTGCTGCCGTAAAAAAAACGAACACAACATAGGAATGCATAGCTAGATGCCAATTGGCTATTTCACTTTGCAATAGCAAAATAGGTATTGCTGCTGTCAATAGCCAGAGGGGGACCTGATGGAGAACTGCAGGTCCCCCTCTGCTGATTGACAGCAGCAGTGGAATAGCCAATAGGAATCTAGCTATGCATTCCTATGGTGATTTTTTTTTTTTTTCATCTGACGGCAGCCAAAACGGCTCCGATGTCAGAAGAAAAAAAACCCGAGCAGGGAAAGGTTTACTCTGCTCGATCGAGTAGAGTGAACCTTTTCTGGGAGAAAGTGTTTCTCTCCCGGGCAGCCGGGAGTCGTATTAGACTCCCAGAGCGTCCGGGAGAGTAATGTCAATTGGCGTTCCTGGTTACCAGGTAACCAGAAACGCCATCTGTCATTACACACTGAGAACACGGAGAGGCCGCTCTCAGTGTGTAATTACATCATCCCTGGTTAGCTGTTAACCAGGGATGCTGATCTCTCTGAAAGTGGCCGGAGCCAGCCGTGAGATGACGGCTGGCTCTGCCCAGCTGTCAGAAGCAGGCTGTCGGCCGCTTGGCCAGCTTCGGCTTTCATCTTGGCTCAATCGAGCCGAGGCATATGCCTT